AGTATTTACACATGCCCTATTATTCTTGCTGCTGATTTCCTAATTCGTTACTTTATGATCTGAAAAGATGCATGATATGATTTCAAACCTAAATTTTCCAAGACTTGATTCGTAGCCTAGGATGTGGTCTGTCAAAGAATATGTTCCATGTGTACTCCCTAAGTGCTGGGTGAATTGCCCCGTGAATGTCTGGAATTTATTGCCTCACCTGTGTTTCAATTCTGATGTTTCTTTATTAAATTTCTTTTGGGGGTGTTGAGGTTACAAACACCATGGTATTGCAGTCTATCTCCCCCTTTAGGATTATTGTACTTCCTGTATATATCTAGATGTTCTCATGTTGGGTGCATACTTATTTGATTGTTATGTTTTCTTGCTGAATTAAATTTTTTTTCAAAAAATAATGTCCTTCCTTCCTAGAGACCAGCCTGGCTGACTCGAGAGCTTGCGAAGGACACATGGATCAGCAAGAAGATAAGACAGAGGAGGCGAGGAGGGACAAGACGTGGACCATTATGGCATGATGCTTATAATGAATAACTGCCTTCTTTATTTATACACAAATCATCACAAGTTTTTGCACAACATCCAAAGGTTTCATTTTTACTTCAGTATAAAAGAATGATTACAAAATCAATCTTAAAAAACAGTATTATTGGGCCCGGCGTGGTGGCACAGTGGCGCAAGTGGTTAAGGTCCTCGCCTTGCACGCCCGGGATCCCATATGGGCGCCAGTTCTATCCCGGCAGCCCCGCTTCCCATCCAGCTTCCTGCCTGTGGCCCGGGAAAGCAGTCCAGGACAGCCCAAAGCTTTGGGATCTTGCACCCATGTGGGAGACCCGGAAGAGGCTCCTGGCTTCGGATCGGCATAGTATCGGCCCGTTGCGCTCACTTGGGGAGTGAATCATCGGACGGAAGATCTTCCTCTCTGTCTCTCCTCTCTGTATATCCACCTTTCCAATAACAAAATAATAAAAATATATCTTTAAAAATAATAATAATAAAAATAAATCTTTAAAAAAATCAGTATTATTATTTTGCTTCAGAGAAAATATTTTCAGCAAGTTATTACTCATTAAAACTTGCAGTGAAATATTACAAGAAGAAAAACAATTAATGTAGTTACTAAATTAATAAAAAATGAAGCCAGGAACTTGTAACTGAAGAGTAGTGCTCATCACACACCCATGCCATCCGACCTGCATGGCTTCCTGCACTTTTTTATCTTTGTTTCAGTTTTCGCTTAAAGTCTGTTTTAACTCGTATCAGGATGGCCTCACCTGTTCACTCTGGGTTTCCATCTTTTTCTAGCCCTTCACTTTCAGTACATGTGCATTTTGTTTGTGAAGTGAGTTTCTTATAGGCAGCATAGAGTGGTGGGTTCTGTATCCACCAGCCTACCATAGTTTTCTGGTTGATGAATTTAATCCATTAGCATTCAAGATTAGTACTGATAGACAAGAAATGAGAACTGCTCTTTAGTAAGTTTCCTAATGACATGTCTTTCATGTTTACTTATTAACATAGGACATTCTTCAGAATTTCTTTTAAGTCTAATCTTGTGGTGATCTGAATTTTTGTTTAGCTGGGAAATACTTTATTCTTCATTATTAAAGGGTAGCTTCACTGCATATAATATTCTTGGCTGGGAGGTTTTGGTTTGTTTGTTTGTTTGTTTTTAAGAATTTGAATGTATCATTTCACTGTCTTGGCACTTCGGGTCTCTGCTGACAGGTCTAGTGTTAATTAATTGGTTTGTCTTTGTATATAACTTGGCATGTTTATCTTACTACCTTTAAATTTCTCTCCCTGCCATTAACATTTGACAATTTAATAACAATACGCCTTGGAGAAGACCTTTTTTGGTTGCATCTGCTTGGGGTTCTTTGAGCCTCTTGTATCTGGAGGTCCAAGTCTCTTTCAAGACCTGGGAGATTTCCAGCTGTTACTTCATTCAGCAGGTTCTCAACGCCTCTTTCTTCTTCTCTTCCTTCAGGAAACCTTTAATACAAGTATTTGGTTGCTTAATGGAATCCCATAGTTCACACAGATTTGCTTCATTCTTTTTAATTCTTTTCTATTTTGCCTGATCGACTATTCCAAAAGTCTTGTCCTCAGGGTCAGAAATTCTTCCCTCCCCTTGGTCTATTCTGCTGTCAAATTCTCAGTCATATTTTTAAGTTCACTGATAATTTCATCTCAAATTTCACTTGGTTCTTCTTAAGGAGCTCTACCTCCTTAGTAATATTTTCCTGATGTCATGCATGGATTTCCTCAGTTCTTTGTCTATCTATGTTGCTTTTCATCTCGTTGAGTTTCCACATGATCATTACTTTGATCTGTATCTGTCACTTCACAGATCTCCTTCAGTTCAGTATCTAATGCTGGAAGGTTGCTGTGTTCTCTGGAGGCATCATGCTTCCTTCCTTCATATCTACCCTGTCCCCCTGTTCCTGGCTCCCCAGCTGATTATGGAGTAAGAGCTTGTGGTTTACACTACAGCGTTCACCTAACTTTTTGCCTCAGCTCTGGCTCTGGAAATCCCCAAGAGCTTGATCTGGGTGATATATTTGTCTTGATCAGTGTCAGCTTTAGTCTGAAGCTGTCAGCTCTAGTCTGGTCTGTCAGTGTCAGCTTTAGTCTGCTGTGGTTCGTGGGGAGAGAAGTGTGGCTTTGAGATCAACAAGGGCTTCCCTGGGTGTGCAACCCCATCCCACAGAAAATTTGGTGTTAGCTCCCTGGCAAATGTTCTTGGACTGAGGGAAACAAGAATGAATTTTGTAAACATTACATCTATTTAGAAGATTCTATTTCTTTAGATTTATTTTTATTTTTATTTGAAAGGCAAGTTTACAGAAGAAACAAAGAAAGAAAGATCTTACATCCTTGGGTTCACTTCCCAAATGGCTACAAAGGCCAGAATTAAGCCAGCCCGAAGCCAGGAACCTGGAGGTTCCTCTGGGTCTCCAATGTGGGCTCAGAGACCCAATTACTCAGATCATCTTGGCTGTGTTTCCAGTCACATTAACAGGGAACTGGACTGGAAGTACAGCAGCTGGGACTTACACTGGTGCCCACATGGGATGCTGACACCACAGGCAGAGATTTAGCCTACTGCACCATGGTGCCTGCCCCTTGTCAGTACCTCTATATATCAGTTTCAACTTCATATCTGGTTTTAGAAATAGAAATATGCATATACAGCTAGTTTTGTCTAATAGTAGTAATCATAAATACAGCTTCATTTATAGTAATTCTACTTTTAAAGATTTATTTTATTTGTATTGGAAAGATAGATTTGCAGAGAGGAGAGAGAGAGATAAAGTTCTTTGATTGACTGGTTCACTCTTCAAATGGCCACAATGATGGGAGCTGAGCCAATCAGAAGCAAGGAACCAGGAGCATCCTCTGGGTCTCCCATGTAGGTGCAGGGTCCCAAGAATTTGGTCATCCTCGAGTGCTTTCCCAGGGTACCAGCAGGCAGCTGGATGGCAAGTGAAGCAGCTGGGACACAAACCGGCACCCATACAGGATGGCAGCACTTGCAGATGGAGGATTAGCCTGTGAGCTACAGCACAGAACCACAGTAATTTTACTTTTATCAGCAGTCAATGCTCACATTCAGATTCACTAACCATATTGCAAAGGTGGTAAATAACTGCCTAGCTCATAACCATCCTCATCAAAAGAGTAAAGGCCGGGGCAAAGTCGTTACTTGTGATGCAGGGATCCCAGATGGGCACCTGCTTCTGTCCTGGCTGCTCCATTTCCCCTCCAGCTCCCTGCTTGTGGCCTGGGAAGGCAGTGGAGGACGGCCCAACGCCTTGGGATCCTGCACCCATGTGGGAGACCCAGAAGCGCCTGGCTCCTAGTTTCCATTTGGTCTAGCCCTGACCATTATAGCCATTTGGGAAATTAACCAGAAAATCCAGGATCGATCTCTCTCTTTCAAATAACTTTTTTTTTTTTTTAATTCAGGAAAAGTGGACACTTAGTGAAAGCCTGCTCCATATCTCATGTGAACTATCTCATTTCTGTAGGAAAGGCCTGGCGGGAAGAGCTTTGGCTCCAGTACACAGCCAGAAGCAGAGCCGGCCACAATCATTCTCAGCTGAGGGGACAAAAACTCTGGGTCAGTTGCCTGCCCAAAGGACAGCGGGGTGGAGGATTCTTTTAGACTCAAGTCTTTTGAGTCCTTTCCTGGGAAAACCAAATCCTGAGTAATCAGGGCCCTGGATCTGGTGGCTTTGCTCATCCTGTTCCTGACCAGATCCCAGTCTCTTTTTCTGAACCTCTAATTCAGGCCCCTGCGCGGCGAGGCTGCGCACCCACTCGGAGAGAGAACCAAACCGTCCGGTTTTCGACAGCCGAGATCACGCTGGAATCAAAGCACCATAGGCACCTGCCCTGTAGCGCGCTCCCTGGGCCCCGCCCTGGAGCTGCTGGCGCCCGGCGGCGACCTCGAGACTCGGGCGGGGAACCTGCCGCTCTCGGGCTGGGCCAACCGGCCGCTCCCTCTCCTGAGTCCCGAGCTCCCTCCTCCGCGCCTACTGTCCCGGCCGGAGCTCGGGCTGGGCCGCCCCGCGGGGGAGGGGATCTGGGACCAGGTAGGAGGTGATGGGGGCGAGACCAAACGGGAGGTGACGGGAGGGGGGTTGGAGCCAACCGAGGGAGTACCCGGCAGGTGAGGGCGCCGCCCAGGTCACTGTTGGTCCTGTTGGTCGGTGGTCTCGGGCGCCTCGTGGGAGGAGAGCGGGCGGACGGTGAGGGGCGGAGCCCTGCAGCGCCCTGGGCGGGAGGTGAGGGGGCGGACCTGGCAGCTGGCGTGGCAGACACTGAGTCACGCTCCGCGCGGACTCAGATCCGCCCCGCTTGCACCTGGTCGTCGCGTCCCCGGACGTCGGCCCCCACCCACGGCGAACTTCGAAGACGGCCTGCGGCTGCCGGGCTCCTAGGCCCCCGCGCGTCTGTGCCAGCCCGGCCGTCAAGTCCTCACGGAGATGCGTGCCACGCCGGCCTCGGACGCGCCCGCGGCCGAGCGGCTTCAACCCGGGGACCCCGGCACCCCGCGGCAGGTGCGCAGGAGCGCCGTGGAGAGGCTGGCGGCCGACCGCGCCAAGTACGTGCGCGGGCTCCCGGCTGCCCAGGGCGGCGGCGCGAGCGCGGCGGCCGCCCAAGAGAGCGCCCCGGACGCCCCGGCCCGCGCGCAGGCCCCGGTGGTGCGCAGGGTGATCGCGCGGAGGCCTCTGCGGCCGGACTCGCTAGTCATCTACCGGCAGAAGTGTGAGTTCGTACGGACGCCGGGCACCGACGGCTCCAAGGGGAGCCTTGGGAAGAAGCTTTTGCCCGTGCAGGGCAAGGACAGGGTTCCGGCGCCCTCGGACACGCAGGGTGTGGGCGAGGAGAGCGGCTACCGGGGCCGGGACGTAGGGACGGCGCCCATGCGCCAGGGTCTTGCCGAGAGTCTCGCACCTTCAGCCTCCAGCGCGCCCCCCGCGGCGCACCCAGCCCCTAGCGCGCCCTCCGCGGCGCCCCGAACCTCCAGCGCGCCCTCCGCGGCGCCCCTAGCCTCCAGCGCGCCCCCCGCGGCGCACCCAGCCCCTAGCGCGCCCTCCGCGGCGCCCCGAACCTCCAGCGCGCCCCCCGCGGCGCACCCAGCCCCTAGCGCGCCCTCCGCGGCGCCCCGAACCTCCAGCGCGCCCCCCGCGGCGCCCCTAGCCTCCAGCGCGCCCCCCGCGGCGCCCCCAGCCTCCAGCGTGCCCTCCGCGGCGCCCCGAACCTCCAGCGCGCCCTCCGCGGCGCCCCGAACCTCCAGCGCGGCGTCCCAGAGCGTCGCGCCTGTGCCTCCTGGCCTGGAGCTGCGGGTGGCTCGGCGCCGGGGGCTGCAGCGCTCGCAGTCCGACCTGAGCTCGCTTTCCTCCACGGCCAAGGCCGAGTGCGATGCGTTTTTCCAATACTGTGGGCTGGACCCCGACGTCGTGGAGGCGCTCGGCCGGGAGAACTTCTCGGCCAGCTCGGACTGCGTGGCTCTCAAAGTCCGCAGTGTAAGCGTGGCCACCTCCGACAGTGGCTTCTCCCGGCGTAGCGACGACGACGGCGAGGACGGGCTGTCGGGAGCACTCAAGGAGCAGGGTCCAAGTGCCACATCGGTCATTGAGAGGAACGCGCGCATCATCAAGTGGCTGTACACCTGCCGGAAGGCCCGGGAGGGCCCCGGCCAGCGGCTGCAGGGGCCTGCGTGAGTGCCTGTGCCTCCGTGCGCAGGTAGGTGGACAGGGTCAGTGGGGTTGGGGGCAAGGCGTGAGACCCGCGGGAGAGCAGGTGGGGCCAGGGTTGATGGCAGAAGCCCTATGCATCCCAGTTCCACTCGGGCCCCTCTGTTGTGAGCACTATCTGGGAGGGGTGGCTCCATCCTGTAGTTGAGTCAACTCGCACCTGTGGCGGGACACACGCACGCCCATGCCGGCAGCAGGAGGGAAGGCTGCTGTACCCCTGTGGCATCTCCACGACCTCGTCCATCAGCGTCCGAACCCAGTTTAGCGAGATAGATTTCCGCCCGCGTTCTATGTGAGCTGTTCTGGAAGTTATATCTCTTGAACGGAAGAATCTGACCAGATAAAGCAGGAGCCTCTGACTGGGATCCAGGAGCAGCCCAGCCCCTAAGTCAAGTCGGTTCTGGGAGCAGCTAGACCCCTAAGTCAGGTTCTGATGTTTCTATGCCTGGGACAACTGTAACCCAACACAGAACTTGCCTCAGGCTCTTGTGCTCGGTGTGCCTTGTAACTTTCACTTCTAATTTGCGGTGGAGTGCCTTGTGATTACCCAGTGTGTATGCAGGACCTGCAAGGATGAACCCCAGGTGGTTAGCGGATCTGCCTGTAGACCAGGTCTCTGTTTGCAGCCTTCGGATTCACCGGTCTTGGTTCTCCATGAAGCTTCTGATAGGCTGTGTGAGCCAGTCATCATCCCCCCCGCCCCCCCACACACCCTGTGAAGCTCCATTCCCTGCCCCTCCTCACTGCGCCCCCCCAAGCACCATTCCGTGCTTTTCCTGCCCAGCGGTTCCCCCATTCTCCCTCAGTATCCCTGTTACAAGGGCAGTTAAGGGGGTATCCTAAGAACCAGACCTGTGGCTTCATTGCAACACATTATTTTCTCATGCCCTCAAGTGAATGCATTTGCATTGACTTGGCCTGAGGTTGTTTACCTACAATTCAGATAAGCTAATTGGAGACCTGATGTGGCAGGACTACTGCCAGGCAGGCTTCCTGGAAAAGGCCTGGGAGCCTCTCACACAGAAGCAAGGCACTCAGGAGGGGTGAATGGGCTTTTCTTAAACTCTGGGAGGTCAAGACCAAGTTCTTCCTGGGTCTTTAGCAAAGACTTGCATTTACCCCTAGCTCAAGCCCCCAAGGAATATCAACAGGCAGTGAGAATGTTCCACAAAGTTAGCTTACCTCTTTTTCTGCTTGTGTCTTGGTTCGGAGATGAGGGAGTACTGATCAGGCATTCCTCACACTCCACGGTAGTGTGAAGGGGGCAGCTCTGGAAGGAACACGCCACAGACTGAGGAGGTGCCTCCACCCTGAATCTGAACTTTGCTGACTAGCAAGTGACCCTGGGAGCCTGGACCAGGCTGTGCCATCTGTGAGAAGGAGGCTGGCTGGCGATTCCCAACTTCTGCATTATGGCCTGGGTGGGTTTGCTATGCCTGTGTTGACTGGCACATGAAAACAAAGCATTCTGTTGGACTTTGAAAAATAAACTTTGTGTGTAGGTTGTGTTTAGGTTCCCTCCAACTAGCGAATGCACGTGAGCTAGTCGGTGAAACTGATGATATGAACAGTGGTAAGGTAGAAGTGCTGCTTACAAATGGAAATAACGTAAAAAACGGTCCCTCTGATCACTCCAGACCCAACCTGTCTCCAGTTCCCAACTCTTCTACCTCAGAGTGAGTCTGGAGTTACAGCTGTGATGTCATATTTCTAAGCTGTTCAGGATAGAATCTGTGAAAAGCATGAGAAGGTGGTTGGAACAAGGGGAATGAGAATGAATTTGGAGGTCAGGGGTTGCTCTAAAGGTGCACGACTTGTGTTCTTTATCCCAAGCCTGCCCAGTGGGGACAGTGTCCCCTGCTTCTGAGCAGGCTGGCAGACACCAGCACAGACAGACATGGGTTTCCAGCTCTGCCTGTGGACACAACCCACACACTCTGGCATGTGCCCCTTCATTCTGCCCAGCTGCTCAGAGTCATGTAAGAAGGAACTCGTCTCCTGAGGGGACTCCAGCATGCTGGGCTGGGTCCACCATGTGCACAGCCCCCACTGAAGAGCCACAGGAGGGGCCTCCAGGCCCTGCCCTGCACGGTGTTCCTCAGAGCTGTAGCAGTGAGAATTCACACTCTGTTTGATTTGCTTTACCAGGACATTCATGTTCAGTTTGGAAGGGTTCAATTTTGGATTTCATTACAATTTTGGAAAATACAGGTGAACAAATGTAGGCCTTTCAAGTGGAAGGAAACACAAATGTATTTTATGTGAAGTTTTTGGTCCCCTTGGTAGATGTTTATAAACTACAATTAAAATATCCCATCCAGGGCCCGTGCAATGGCCCTTACACGCTCCCTTTTGGGCAGTGGTTCATGTCCCAACTGTTCCACTTCCCGTCCAGCTCCCTGCTTGTGGCCTGGGTAAGCCAGTGGAGGATGGCCCAAAGCCTTGGGACCCTAAACCTGCCTGGGAGACCCAGAGGAGGCTCCTGGCTTCGGATCAGCTCAGCTCCAGCCATTGCAGCTACTTGGGGAGTGAACCAGTGAACAGAAGATCTTTCACCTTCTCTCTATAAATTTGCCTTTCTAATAAAAATAAACCTTTTTTAAAAAAAATAGCACACACAGAAGAAAATGGCCCAATCATGATTTTCTTGCTGCGTGGGGTGGAAATGCTTGCTTTTCAAAATTGAGCAAATCAAACTGCAGAGTGAGCCACAGAATGTTCCTCAAGCCCTGGGCCCCAACAGTAGGAGCCAGTCACACCTGGGTGGTTCTGGCATAATGCATGAACATTGCTCTTCTGTCTGCTTGGTCTAGTCATACTCTGCCCCTTGTGAAATTCATCAGATTGAGGACTTCTCAAAATTTAGGTCTTCCTGGTTTTCTCTCATTTACACAGAGTCTATAAAACTTGCTGATTTTAATACTTGTGTAACAGAATGGTAACTTGTTCTTTGTGTTAATTAAGGATAAACATTACTGGCTTTCAAGGCAGGCATATTCAGGTGTTTGACAGCCATCTGCATATTTCTTTGATTGGAAAGCATAGGGGAAGTCCTGGAGAAGCCGTATGAGAACCATGACCTTGTGGGCTGGATGGGTGCAGGGCATATGGGCTCGCCAACCTCTCTCCCCCATCCCCTTTGGCTGTTCTGGGAACTCTGAGTGACCACTGGAGCGTATGGGAGCAAATGAATTGCAGGGAACTCCAAACTACTCCTGGTCTTCTGGCCAGTACCTGCCTTGCGGAGATGAAGTGTTTGAAAGGGTGGAGTCTGCTTGACTTCAGGGGCTTGGTCAGACTGCCTGCCCTGTTTTCTACTTTGCTATCCAACTCTGGTGGTCAGCACTGGCCTTGCCAACATTTGAGAATGCTTCCTGCACCCAAGTAATTAGAGGCAGAGAAATATTTAGAAGGACTGAAGGGAGGTGGGGATTTGTTGTGCCAGAGAACCAGATGGTATCTGCCGTTAATGAAGCTACTGACTTATTTCCAAAAATTAAAATGCAAAATGGAGCAGTTTTTTTTAAAGATTTATTTTTACTATTTTTTTATTGGAAAGGCGGATATACAGAGAGGAAGATCTTCGTCCGACGATTCACTCCCCAAGTGACCACAATGGCCGATGCTATGCCGATCCGAAGCCAGGAGCCTCTTCCAGGTCTCCCACGCGGGCGCAGGGTCCCAAAGCTTTGGGCCGTAATCGACTGCCTTCCCAGGCCACAAGCAGGGAGCTGGAAGGGAAGCAGGGCTGCCGGGATAGAACCGGCGCCCATATGGGATCCCGGGCGTGCAAGGACTTTAACTACTTGCGCCACCGCGCCGGGCCCAAAATGGAGCAGTTTTATAACGTGGAAAATATGCTTAAGATGGAGCCAGATTTTATGCTATGCTGTTTGGTTCTGTAACTTCTGCCTGAACCAGGTTGATCACCATTTTCTCTTTACTCCTCAGCCAGCAGACTCCCCACATGGAGCTTCTGGATGACATGGACCAGTCGTGCAGTATGCACAGGATTGGTGCCTTCCTGGGAGTGAAGCCCTGTGGCTGCCCCGAGTGACCTCAGGAGACTGGAGAGGCCACGGAGAAGGTGGGAACACAGACCTGAAGGATCGGTCAACCTTTGGATTAATGGCTGAAGCACGGGCAAGGCGCCATGTCTACACTGTGCTTCCCCATGCAGTGAGAAAAGTGACAGCTCTTGGGAATGATTTTCAGGGGCACCTTTTGGACTGACTTTATACAAGAAATACTGTGATGCATCTCACTTTAAAAAAATGTCTAAAAGCATGAAAACCAAGCAATTTACTCCTTTTGCCCTGCTGGGCTAACTGGAACCATATAAATCAAGTTTCTATAATGACAAATATAATCCACCTGAATACCATTGTCCACCAAGAGCAAGCATGTGCTCGACACACTACTGCAGGCCTAAGTTGCAATGGAGACTGCAGTTGACTTTCAAATTCTAGAACCAGTTATCGCATCTTATGAGCTAAATGCATGTGTAAAATCACAGGGCTAGAAGCTCATTCTGCTAGTGGCACTCCTCACAGGGTGGCAGGCAAGTGAAAAAAAACCTTTGTAAAGGAACATTGGAGTCAAGAAACTGCCAGAGACAATTCTTACTGTCGCTGGATTGTTTCCTGGGTGCTCCCATTAGGTCAGGAGCAACGTGGCCACACAGCTCCCTGGGTCCCACTCCAGAGAAGGGAGGGCCCTTGTGTGGGTCTCTGGGGGGACCTTTTGGCACCCATGGTCTAGTCCATGCCACGACAGACCATGGGAGAAGTTCCCTGTTCTTAGTGGAAAGCATGCTCTGATAGCCAGGAGACCAGGGACAGGAGATCAGAAGGGGCAGCTGTGACCCTGGTCAGACACTTGTGCCTGACACCCAGAGTGTTGCAAATTCCAAACCTCCTGAGAAAAAGTTGTCAGTTCAGTCAGCTCTCCTGAAGTTTGCTGTGATTCATCAAAATGCTTCTTCAAGAGCAAAATTATTAAAATATTCAAGAGACAGTGGGATTTCTCAAAGGTAACATGTTTTTAAAACCCCATTTTGATATGTTCATGTATTTAATATTCTATTTTTGTAACTGTTTCACTGTGAAAATAGATTCTGAGTTACTTAAATATTTATCTTTACAGCTAATACTCTTCACATAACTTTCCTTTCTTCACATGGTTTTAGTTTCTGTGGATGAGATTCTAAGCCATCTTCTCTGGCTTGTTTGCATGGCTCGTGTGCCTGGCTCATCTCTAGCTGTGGTGGAGTGTCTGCCCTCCTCTGGGTGCTCCGTGCTGCTGCCACTGATGTTCACATAAGGTTGAAGGTCACTTGGAACACTTAGAAGTCCTGTCCGAGACACTGTAACCTCCTTCAGGCTGTGGCAAGACAGCAGATTGCCTTACGGCACTTTCTGCAGATGTGTGAAAATGCTGCTGGTTTCCTGTTCCTGGTATTGCACTTACTTTAAAAAGGTAGTGCTGAAGATGTGAGCAGCTTTGTTTTTTGTAAGATTTATTTGTTTGTATTTGAAAGGCATTTTTACAGGGAGGAGAGACAGAAAGATCGTTCATCCAACTGTTCACTCCCCAAATGGCCTCCAATGGCCAGAGCTGAGACATGAAGTCATGAGCCAGGAGCCTCTGGGTCTCCCACACAAGTGCAGGGTCTCCAGGACTTGGCCATCATACACTGCTTTCCCAGGCCACCAGCAGGCAGCTGCATGGGAAGTGAGGCATCTGGTATACAAACCAGCGCTCATATGGGATGCCAGCCCTAGCAGGTAGAAGATTAGCCTGTTGAGCCACTGCACTGGCTCCAAAGTTGTGAGTGAATTTAGTGAATTTACAGGATCTTTATTCTCCTACTTTTTCATATGTGAAATCTTCCCACTGTAAGGACAGGATGAACTGAGACCTAAGGTCAGAATGGTGCAACTGTCCCACATGCATGACAGGTGAAATCAGAAAGCACCTCAGTTTCCATGTAAACCCTCCAAAGTATTTCAGAGACAATTGTACTTTGGAGAGGGGGGCAGTTTCAGTGAGTTCTGGAAGTAGGTGCCCGAGATGGCCAATGGCTCCAAGACAACAAAAGCAGCACATTGGTTCTCTTTGGCTTCCGCTGGGTTCAAATCCACAGACATTCTTTCCTGAATCTGCATTACAATGATTTTCTGACTCTCTAGCTTGATCCACAAGAAGAGAAGTAAGAGTTAATGCTGCCAAATCTTGTGCTGTCTGTGAAAGAACAGAAGATAAAATAATACAGAATAACGAAACGCAGTGGAAAGAACAGGTAATTGATAAAAGAAAGAGAATAACTTGACAGTTGTCTTTTTCACTTGTGTGTGGATACAGATTCACACAGCTTTGCCAAAAGGTACTCACATAACACGTCCTTATTATGTGCATACATTGTGTGTGTGTGTGTTTGTAATCTACATGTGTGTGGCTTTTCAGCTGTTGGCCCTTGGCAGTGGAATGAAATGGCAGTGCTATTAAACTTTACCATTCTTCCACAGGCTCAAAGTTCATGACTGTAGATAGCAATACCATAAAACATCAGGCCCAGATGATCACAATGGCAGTTTCTAAACAGCCTTTTTTCCCCCCTACAATACTACTTGCAGTTGGAGTATAATATACTATTTTCTATATTAAGGAAATGAGATTTTTATCACTTGTGAATGTTTACTTGTGATATTGAACAAAGGGTTTTCTGAGTAGACCAACTCCTGTCACTTGTGTTCTCTGGGCTTCTAAATGTCGCTCTGTTGGATCGACAGCAAGGACAAAGGTCTCCAAGTCTTGAGTAAGCATGCAGCCTGAAGTGGCCAACTCTGCTGGAGACAGAGTACAGAAAGCAGTTCCCAGTATCTAGCCTTTAGTTTTTCTTTAATGTTTCATCCATCTTTGATTTTCATGTTTTATGAATGTAATTGGAAAAGGCATTTAGAGCACTTTGTGTTTTTTCCCATTAACTTATCCAGAGCAAGCAAACTCCACTGGTCCCAAGTTCTGATCTAATGGTGGGGAGGTGGGAAGGAATTCTCCCGCCTGGGCAAGACTGTGGTTGTTGTCAGTGCTGCAGGTGCTATGCCTAATAACCCAGAGACACCTTCACAGGGTCCAAGAGGAAAACAAACTCATTGCTTCTGTATTTCCTGAGGAACACAGGCTGTTTGAAACAGTTCAGACTTCACATGGTGCAAGTTCCACTGCTGGGCTACCAGCTACTGCAGTCCTCCTCCTTGGGGCAAACTGGAGGACTCACCTCTCATCTACCCATTTGGAAAAACCAGTAGAACAGGAAACAACCAGATCATGCACAGTGACAAACTGTTTAAATTGTTTTCATGATGTTCAATGACCTGAATAGAGTTACGTGCATTTGAATGTGCCAGTTCAGAAATAATGAATAAGAAGAAAGCTGAGGTTCTCAACCAGGGTCTGTATCTCTGGTCTCAGAAGCTGCAGGGAGAAGGCATAAAAAATACAGCACTTGTCCCTACCCAGAATGTCCTCTTGTGCCTGCAGCAGGGCCTCAGATTCAATAGCTGATAGTTAGCTTTATGTCTGGTCCTTGAAAACTGTCAGAGTGGAACGCACCAACTGCTCACCTCAGCTGTGATCTAACATGAATTCACCAACAACTGCTCACCTCAGAACAGAATCTTATGAATATCCATAGAATGTGAGACTCTGGACCATAGGACCAGGCAGACATAGGCTGGCATGGATCCTGACTTCAAGACACCCTGTAGGACACTCCATTATTGATAATAAGCAATGGCTAGAATAGAAAGTGACAGAATTGACTACTATAGATATGATGCTGTCCTCCTGTGGCATCAAAGCCATTAGTCAAAGCTGTCACCCGTGAAAACAAGTACAAGTCACCAGTGTGTGCATGGAGGACCACAGTACCGCACAGAACCGGGTGTTCACCAAACTCACTGCCATGATAGGGCTTGCATTCTAGTTGGGTGAGTGGGTAAGGGCAGATACTCAATAAGAAGAAATGGGGATCTGGCTCAATAGCCTAGTGACTAAAGTCCTTGCCTTGCATGCGCTAGGGTCCCATATGAGTGCCGGTTCTAATCCTGGCAGCCCCGCTTAACATCCAGCTCCCTGCTTGTGGCCTAGAAAGCAGCTGGGGATGGCCCAAAGCCTTGGGACCCTGCACCCACATGGGATACCCAGAAGAGGCTCCGGGCTCCTGGCTTCAGATCAGCACAGTTCCAGCCATTGTGGCCCCTTGTGGAGTGAATCATCGGATGGAAGATCTTCCTCTCTGTCTCTCCTCCTCTCTGTATATCTCTTTCCAATAAAAATAAAATAAATCTTCAAAAAAAAGAAGAGATGGGGTGGGCAGTGGAGAGAGAGGAATAGATAGGCAGAGGATAGGTGGATGATGGAATGACAGTAGGGGACAGGTGAGAGGGGAGAGGCAGGCAGGCAAGCAGAGTGAGGAAACAGCAGCAAGTCGGCCTATGAACTTAACTGATGGACTGTGATCCTTTGACTCCTGTTTTATACTTGATGCCAATCTGTCTGAATCATAAATGGAACCCAAAGTCCAAACCACATAAAAAGAGGCAACAGGGAAAAGGAAACGTGGACATTGTGAATGCATTTCTTTCACTGAGTGGTTCCTTCACTCTAGAAGGCTGCAACATGCTACACACAAGAGCTCAGGACTTTGCTTGAGAAGTTTATAAGTCCACGGCCTGCTTTTGGGTTTTAGAAGGAATCCACCGCTCAAATTCAGGAGAATCCTTAAGTCAGGACAGCACACTGAGAAGAGTTTTTCCTCACAACTTCCGAGAGCTGCTCTCAGACCCACCCCAGGAGACTCCTGGCTGGGACGGGCCTGGACGGGTCAGGGTAATGCCCTCAGTCAGTTATTCTAATGATATTAACCTCTTAAATGATTCAGTTGACTCTACCATCTATTCATGTATCTAAGATGTGAACCAGTTGATGGTTCCCTGTGTCATGTGTTTTAGGGTTCTCCAGAGGGAATTAGTAGGACATAGAAGAAAGCTTCACAAAGTTCACAGCATACAAATCTTAAAAAAAATTGTTCTGGTGAAAAAAAAAATTTAATCCATGCATATTGAAGAGCTTCCCTAAAGTTTATGGAAGACACGTATTATGAAAAAACTATGCATGGCTCTTGAAATATTGAGAGCAAATGGGACTATCTTGGGAAATTGGCCAAGAAGTCCACCTGGGACTGTTTTGACAGCCTGGAGAGTGCAGTGGCCTATCGAGAGGTTCAGTCCACATCCAGGAAGCTGATGCTGCAGTCCCCACTCAGAAATGGAGAGTGAGGACCTGAGAGGCCATTCGTGTACAGCACGCGTCTAAGTGAGAAAGACACTGCAATTATGACATGTGCGAGCTTGACATCCAAAAAAAAAAGTACCAAAAGTCATCCTTCCTCTGCCCTTTGTTGCACTTGAACAATCCACGTCCAGGCCCCTGAGTCCATCCACAGCCAGACCCATTGTTCCATCCATGTCAGGGCCCCTGGTCCCATCCACTTTCAGACCCCTGGTCCCATCCACATCCAGGCCCCTGAGCCCATCCACGGCCAGACCCGTAGTTCCATCCACGTCCAGGCCCCTGGTCCCATCCACGTCCAGGCCCCTGGTTCCATCCACGTCCAGACCCATAGTTCCATCCACGTCCAGGCCCCTGGTTCCATCCACGGTTAGGCCTGGCATTTCCCACCTAGTCCACCAAATCACACTCCAGTGTGTCGCTGTCCCGCAGTGACGGACTGGTGCATGGAACCGATAATAACACGCGTGGACCCTGACTGATGGTCAAAGCCGAAGTTTATTAGGGGCATCAGACTTTATACACTGAGATTCCATACTGTGTCCCTCTCTTGATTGGAATTCCTTTTGTTTTGTATATTACACCAGGTGTTCTCATTTACATGCTGTTTATACCAAAGGTAGCCATTTGGTTGTTGTCATGCAAATACTGTCCAATGAACTGGAAACCTGTGCTCACTGATCTTTTAGGGTCACAATGTCCTCCTACAAATCCCCCTTCTGTGTTTTATAAAATTAGGCCTGAAAGTTGTAGCTGGGGGAACATGCTCTTGGAAGAGCAGAAGAATGGGGAGAAACAATGATACATATATTATAAAAATAACAGCTATAATTTCTCCCGGGCTAACATGTTTTTGAATTTAACCTAAATCAGAGTTGCACAGGAACACTGAACAGTTAACATCCATCATATGTAACAGCTGAGTATAAACTTAACATCACAGTTTCTATTCAGTTAGTATTAACAGTTGATGAAAGTTTTGGGGAGAATCTCAACTTACAATTTAAGCCTTGCCATTTATATAATTGAAGTGTGATTTTACAGATTTCTATGCATTTAGGAGAATCAAAACAGTCTTATAATTCTACCAAATCATAGAAAAGTGTTAGGCAGGTGAGCAGGGAAATCTCCAACAACTTAGTGAATGAGGAAGAATTTAACTCTATATCCTATCCTAGTAAAGTCCATAAAAAGCAAATAGGGAGCCCAACCAGTAAGTACAGGCTGAGCGATTATTGGTTAATTGGCCTTTTTTCTGACTCTTCCAAATGTTCTATATCCATGTCTCTCTGTAGCCTGATCAGTTAGGTACAAGTTGAGTGATTATCAGTTAGCTGACCTTTATTAGTGTCTAGTATCTAAAATAATTGTGGGGCTCACAAGCAACCCTAATGGTCGGTGTAAGAGAGGGCTGGGAACCATGGCTGGAGCTAGGTAAGAATTAGGGAAAGCTCCTCCTCTGAGTCCAGTTGTCTCTGAGTGCCACCCGGGGCTCCTGGCTGAAGTTCCGATGTCACCAGACCCTATCATGAGGGAACTGGGCTGCTTCAATCCCATGTGGGAAATTCACTAGGAAAGGACTGACCTCAGAGTTCTTGGCCTCCAAGGGCACTCACCTTCCTTGTAATCCCCTTGGCAGTCGGGATATGGTCCTCCTTGATGAGGCAGGCATCCACTGCTTCTGTAGTGAAAGCACATGGGAGACCTCCGGGGATCTCTGGGACTAGGATAGAGAGCTCCTCTTATCCTCCTGCTCCGCCTTGAGATCCCTTCCTGCTCTGTGCACACAACCTGCCTGGAGGGCAGCATTGTCTTCCAGGAACTGCTGCTGTGCCCACATTGTTGACAGACTTGTGCAAACAGCCTGGGGTCAGAATACAGCAGACACATGTCCTCCCACCAGCTTTCAGGACTCAAGGTAGTCCCTGAACAGAAAATTTGCAGACCTGGGTGCCATTCCACATTAGCTGGCAGGTGCAGGCCAGCCATCCATCCTCAAGTCCGATCCCTGAGGGACACAGCGTGCACACCTGTGCACACCTGGTCCTCAAAGGCTGAAAGCAGGACAAGAATGGTGGTGCAAGCTCAGACAGCTCTGTTGACCAGAGGCTGCAGCGGCTATCGGGATTGGCTTCCTGGGACTCCGGCTCAGCCAGAATCCATTCTGGCTAAGGGACTTGGCCCCCTGTCGCTGTTTCCCATGCTCAGTAAAGAGCACAGCACCGAGGTGGCCTCAGGTTCGGCCTTGGCTTGCTGTGCTGAGGAGGGAAAGCATCTGTGACCTTCCATGATGGAGTTCCTGCACTGTTCGAGGTCCTAGAACTCCAATCCCATCCCCACCAGTGGAAGCACAAGGTTGGAGAAGAGGGAACCTGGATGTAAACAGAGGAGGTGAGCAGAAATGCCTGTGGAGTAGGAGACCAAGAGGCAGGTGGAGGGAGCATCCCGAGCGGCCGCGGCTCACCTGGCTCAGGGTTCCCCAGCACCAGTCTGTGACTGCACTGTGTCACCAGGACAAGCTGGACAACAGCAGCCGGAGCTGCTCAAGGGGCTGGGGAGATGAAAGGAGGTGCAGTCACAGGCTGTGGTTTCAGCTCAGGTAGAGGACCCCAGGCAGGTGGGGCTGGAGGTCGTCTGGGCCAGTGTTTGCAGGCCAATTATTTGGCCTCTAGCAGAGTTTCAAATGGCCCGGGGGTCAGTTTTTTCCACTTTAAGCCTTGGGACCTTGCACCTGCATGGAAGACTCAGAAGTTCCTGGTTTCAGATTGGCTCAACTCTGGCTGTTTTAGCCATTTGGTGAGTGAACCATCAGATAAAAGATCTTTCTGTCTCTCCTTCTATATGTAAGTCTGATCTGCTTTTCCAAAACAAATAAATGAATCCTTAAAAAGGGGGGGGGGGTAGATGCTATTCGATTTGCTGTGTGCTTGATGGTGCAGAACCAAACTGCTGACATCCTATTTGAGGGATTAGGAAATGGTAAGCTCATCCCAGAGCTACCTACTGGGGCCTTCCAGGGTAAAGAGGCTTCTCTGCTGTGGTTGGGAGTCTTTCTGCACTCAAGATCCCTGTGTATTGTCTTCTTAATGAAGACCGAGTTGTCAGAACTTGAGGAAGGCAGTGGGAAGGAGGCTGGATGACGCCATAGCTAAGAGTAGAGAGGAGCCAAGGTGCAGGAGGCGTTAGGGCCCGCGGGGCCACTCTGTGCAGCATGAGTTTGCGGGAAGGCCAAGCTCATACTCCATGCCAGAAGCCAAGGATGCCTAACTCTAACCCTTCCAGTCTCCGGGGCTCCAAAACCCTACAGAGCCTACTGTGGGCTCCGCCCCCGCATTCTCTTGACCATCTAGTCCCGCCCCACACCGAGGCCCCTCCCCACACCAAGGCCCCGCCTAGGCATGCCCCGCCCAACTTCCGGACTCCTCCTCCGGGTCCAGGGCGCAGTGCGCAGGCTCCGACGGGGAGAGGCGGGGACAGGCCCGCTCACATGGGAACGAGTGCGGATATGACTGGCTGTGTCTGAGGGACTGGGGCGGGGTCAGGCGGCGGCCCAGTGTGGGTTTCCGCTGTGGGCGACGCCACGAACTGGGCCCGCGGCGTCCGGCGACCCCGACGCGTCCCCGGCCCAGTCTGCGCCCAGCTCGGGTGCCCCGTCGCCGGCCCCCGCTTAGGCCCTGGGCCTGGGGCGGCAGCTGCAGGAGCCAGCGGGCACGCAAGGGCGAGGCGGCCGGGCAAACGCCATGTCCATGGAGGACCCCTTCTTTGTAGTGAAAGGGTGAGTGTGGCCGGCGCGCTGCGCCCGAGGAGCTGCGGCCGGGGTCTTGTTCGAGGGCCGGACGGGGGTCCAGGGGCGCCTGTGTCCGCTGGCCCGGTGCTGGCCGGTACACGGCGGAGCAACCGGGACTTATAGCCCTGAGGGTGGGTGCCGGCCGGTACCGCGGGAGGAAGCGACTGGCGAGGACGAGGATCCTGAGGTAAGGTGATGCGTGCCGGGGTGCTGAGGTAGAGGTGGGCGCGGGCCGGGGGTGCTGAGGTAACCGTGGCTCGGGCCGGGGGTGCTGAGGTAGAGGTGGGCGCGGGCAGGTGTGGTGAGGTAGAGGTGGGCTTGGGCAGGGGTGGTGAGGTAGAGGTGGGCTTGGGCAGGGGTGGTGAGGTAGAGGTGGGCGCGGGCGGGGGTGCTGAGGTAGAGGTGGGCTTGGGCAGGGTTGCTGAGGTAGAGGTGGGCTTGGTCAGGGGTGCTGAGGTAGAGGTGGGCGCGGGCCGGGGGTGGTGAGGTAGAGGTGGGCTTGGTCAGGGGTGCTGAGGTAGAGGTGGGCTTGGTCAGGGGTGCTGAGGTAGAGGTGGGCGCGGGTCGGGGGTGCTGAGGTAGAGGTGGGCTTGGGCGGGGGCGCTGAGGTAGAGGTGGGCCGGGGGTGCTGAGGTAGAGGTGGGCTTGGGCAGGGTTGCTGAGGTAGAGGTGGGCGCGGGCTGGGGGTGCTGAGGTAGAGGTGGGCGCGGGCGGGGTTGCTGAGGTGGAGGTGGTCGCGGGCAGGGGTGGTGAGGTAGAGGTGGGCGCGGGCCGGGGGTGCTGAGGTAGAGGTGGGCGCGGGCAGGGGATGCTGAGGTAGAGGTGGGTGCCGGCAGGGGTTCCTGGGTAATGTGTCACAGGCTGGTCAGTGCTGAGGTAGAAGTGGGCACAGGGTGAGCACTGCTGAATTAAGCTGGATGGGGGCAGCAGGCATTGAGATAGAGGTGGGCTGCATCTGAGTTGGAGTTGGACAGGGACTGAACCAGGCCTCCTGTGTGGGTTGCCGGTGCTGCAGCAGCTTTGGCCGTTATACATTCCCCTGATCCTTTTATTTTTAAGTATTATTTCTATTGGAAAGGAAAATTTAGCTAGTGAAGGGAAGAGCTTGTTCATTCCCCAAGTGGCTGCAATGGCCAGACCTGAGCCGATCTAAAACTCAGAGCCAGGAGCTTCTTTCAGGTCTCTCTCATGGATCAGGGTCCTAAAGCTTGGGTTTTCCTCCTTGCTTTCCCAGGCCAGGAACAGGGAGCTGGAAGGGAAGTCGAGTAGCCAGGACACAAACTAATGGCCATATGGCATCCTGGCGCTTGCAAGATAAGGGTTTAGGGACACACCAGGTCTGTGTATTTTATTTCTAATAACTGGTGAGCTTCCTGTTGTAATTGTCAGACAGACATTAGAAACCTGATGACTGCCTGGGTCTGGGTCATTGCTAACAAGCATGAACGGCCCTTTGCCTTCTGCTAGCTGCTGCCAACCTCCTGGTTCTGCCATGGTAACCCACTGGTTGTATGGGTGTCATGATTTAATGCATTTTATGTGGGATAATTTATTATCTATGAGATAGTAGAAAATTGAACACTTAACAATTTCGTTGAAGATTGGTCTTCACTCACTTTGTTATGTTGGAAAAATGCAGAGTATAACTTCTGGTTATACATCACTTCCTGACTGAAAAAAAAGTGTCACTTATTGGAAAGAATTAAAATCGGAGTGGTTTTTCCTTTGTTGAAATTTCCCAATGCTAGGCTGCAAAAGTTATCTCTGGCAGTGGCAATCTGAGAGAATTAGACATGTTCTGTTTGATGTTCAGTGGAATTTGTGAAACCTTCAATGTCTTGCTGTGTTTTTTTCTGATAGTGTTCCCTACATCTGTCAGAGCTATTGACTGGAACACTGGTTGGAGTTTGGTTGACTTTTCCCTGGCTTTAGCTTGTGTCTTTAAGGTGCTAAAGGAAGAGGTCTCTCCATCCCTCTGAAGCTGCGTAGTGTCAGATGTTGGTATCATCTTAGGGGACCAGGAGCCTCTGTTGAAGTACACAGAATGGAAATCAGGGATGCCTTTAGCCTGGGGTCTTCTAGTCTAACCTAAGGAATAAACCACCCCCTAAATTAAATGGCAATAATAGGAGGTGAATGATTAAGTGCTGAAATGAGTGCTGCAGGTGGTAAATGTCCCAGAAATTCAGAGGATAGCAGCTCCTTAGGAATTATTACAATAGGAAAGCTTTTATAAACAGAGATAAAGTACTTAAAATAGTTTTGTTTTATTTGAAAGACAGAGAGAGATCTTCCATCCACCGAATTGTTCTCCAAATGCCCCCTAGTAGCCAAGGCTGAGTTAGGTGTCTGTAACTCCATCTGAATCTCCCATGTGGGTAACAGGGATGCTGGAGCCATTACCTGCTGCTTCCCTATGTGTGTGTTAACAGGAAAGTGAGTTGGAATTGCAGGAGCCAGGACTAGAACCAGCCTTCCAGGGTGGATTGTGGGTGTCCCAAATATATTTTATACTCGCAGCACATTTTAATTTGGATATTAAAGTGAATGTTAAATTTCATTATCAGTTCTTAATTTATAATAGAGACTATCATATCCAGATGTGAAGAAATAGTGTAGTATGCATCTCTGCTTCCAAATCAAAGATGGACTCCCAATGAAACTGTTAGATGTATCTACATATATATATATAATATTTGTTTATTTTCATTGGAAAGTCAGATGTACAGAGAGGAGAAGAGACAGAGAGAATGTTCCATATACTGCTTCACTCCCCAAGTGGCCACAATGACCGGAGCTGAGCCAGTCCAAAGTCAGGAGCCAGGAGTTTCTTCTGAGTCTTCCAAGCGAATGCAGGGTATCAAGGCCATCCTCGACTGCTTTCCCAGGCCACAAGCAGGGGGTGGATGGGAAGTGGTGCTGCCGGGACATGAACCAGCACCCATATGGGATCCCAGCATGTACAAGGCGAGGACTTCAGCTGCTAGGAACTGCATCCTACTAAATAGCATCCTATTATTAAGATGTCTTAATAGTAGGATGCTGGACTGTCTGCCATTGTCTGTATTAACAATGTCTGGACACACTTAAATTAACAGAATGATGAACTTATGACTGCTTATAAAAGACTCTACTAATGTGATAATATGGGGGAATTAAGTTGGGAGGGAGGGAATTTGGGGAGGGGGTAAGGGAAATCCCATAGCCTATGGAATTGTATCATAAAATTTAAAATAGGGAAAAATTAGTACCTTTTCACCCCTGTTTGAGTAGAAAAATAAATCCTGAGTATTGTTAAATAAATTTTAAAAAATAGAAAAAAGCTTAGTTCTCCCGATATGTTTGGCACATTTCAAGTTGATAGTTGTGTGTAGTTTCTGTATTGGACATCCAGTGGAGCCTTCCTGAAGCCTAGCAGTGTACAGTTGCACAGCTACCTACACTACTACCTCCCTTGGCAGCACTTTTAGTTAGCTGCAGCAGGACCAGACTTACTTCTGTGTTGGTGCCTGTGGTCCCTGGCTTGTTCCACCTCAGCTCTCAGGTTTCAGCCCAGGTATCTGTACCTCCAGGAGGTACTTCCCTTGGCACTTATGACACAGTATCACTCCTCTTCCTCTGGGACACTGAGGTTGCAGATCCTTGAATATGTGATGTGGATGTTGAATCTGTACTCTGTGCTGGTGATGGAGTGCTTGGACCCAGAATGGGCACTGGGACAGAAGGTTTACTCCAGGAAGCAGTCATTGTTGCTGATATGGGAAGGCTGCTAGGCCTTCTGAGCTAAGTCAGCACATAAATGATTTCCCCATCATGAGTGTGCCAACCCCTTCTTCATGAGGAGAAGCAGAAACAGCCCAGGGTCCCAGGGTTGAGAAGTAGAGCCAGGATTCAAGTTGGAGCAGACTATTGTCCTACTCATGCTCTTCATAGTATGAGGATGACATGGTTAACTGAGTTAGGCTTGAGGAGAACTGCATTTTGATGCCCACAGGGACATTTAACCCTGAAAACAGCCATGAAATTAGCTTTAGGAATTTTGTCTGTTAGCAGTTTTGGGTACGTTGGTGTGAGGAGTGGAAAAGGCGATAGGAGACTGTTGTCCTTGAGACAGGCAGCAGCATGCGCCAGTGTTGGAAGCTTCTTGTGTGAGGTTTGACATTGTTAGTGTCTGTTAGAGCAGAGGCCCAGAACTGGGTGTGCCTTTTATGAAGTAGACACAGTCACTATCTCGGTAGAATAAGAGAGATAGAGCTTAGTGAAATGCATCTGAATTTGTGTGTGTGTGTTTGTGAGTGTGTGCACATTGTTAATTAAGATTATATATTGTTTTGTGATCACTTCATCTGTTTCTTTATATCCTTACACTGTCTTGGTGGGAGCCCAGATCTCAGTCTAATTTGGAGAACACTGCAGGTTAGTTCCTGCCAGATACTTTGTGTACAGGACTGTGGAGCAGAGTGGGAAAAAGGAGAACCCACATGGAAGTGTTGGGAGTGTCTTATTATTCTCATTCTGCTCTGTCTTTATAGAATGTGAGGGGGTCCCTGAAGGTAGAGAAGCAGCTGAGTAGTTTGAGAAAGGGGAGGGTGGCAAGCAGACCTGCCAACTGAAACGACACGTAGTTTAATGAGAAGTCAGACTGGATTTTAAAGTCAGCTGGTTTGGGATAGGAGGAGGCTTGGAAGGGGGGTTGCTATCTACCAAGGAGTTTAAATTTAATCTGGTAAATTGTTCATTGAAATCTAGCTTTTAGTCACTGATCAAGAACTCAAATCTGTATCTTGTGATTCCACAAAGAAGGCAGATGTGTCTAGAGGCTTTGTAAAAGTAGATTCAATGGGTCTTGATAACAGAAAGAATTTGGTACTCACTCCAGGTCAGAATTACTTGAGGAAAGCAGTGAAGATGTCTAAGCCAGGTCTAGTGTGTCTGTGGAGTCCCATCCAGATCTAAAAATCCTGTGGTTGGGTTTATGTGATGCGTGCAGCCAGAGTCAAGGGGGGGCTCTTATATGGAAAAGTTTTGAAACTTGGAAAATGGTAAGTGGCACTGTTGGCTAGAATGAGGAAGTTTTTTGGGGTAGATACTGTTTCCTTTGAATATTAAAGTGGCTATGACAGAACTAGGCCATCTATAATCTTGTATTTTATAGGAAAGGTGTGATTAGTTTTATTTGGGAGAAAT